GGGGGGGGGGGGGTTTCATCTGCGCACCATATTGAAAGCTACAAACCTCATTATGTCTCATTTCTGTTAACATTACAGGAGAGCGTACATCTGGTCTGATGCATTGTTAAAATTTCACGTAATGAGGATGCATTTAATGATCCGCAGACAAAAAAACAGCCCCCCCCCCCCAGACTTCACTCATTGTTCTTCAGCAAATTCTAAAACTCAGCTTCAGTATCATGAATGTAGAGCTGGGCGGAATGTTGAAAATCATTATCATATTAAGAGGGATATTTTCCCCATCTCAATAATTTTACAATATGACAAATGTATACATACATTTGTCACAATATGTATCAAATGCATGTATAATCCCTAAGAAAACAATCAAACTGAAGTTCAAAGCAGAACAGTTGTGCTTTACATGAGGCTGAGCTCCTCATAAGTGTAAAACTAAAACTTCACTTTTTTATTTGTTTTAAACTACAGTTTGATTGGAGTCATTCTTTTGGACAACAGAATGATAACATGATATGATCATATCACCACCGTATGATTCTGCTGAAAGTCAATAAACGATAATATTGAATTATTGCCCAGCTCGACAGAAAAGTGCCCATTTCGACATGAAGGGAACCAGACTTTCACCTCAAAGCAGACTGGTGTCTTGTGCCAAAATCACTTCATAGTTTTAAGTGGTAGTCCCGCTTTCCATTTTGAATCTTACAATTTTCTGACACCAGGCTGTTTGACAGATTAACACCACATTCCCCTATTCCATGAGGTATTCATTTAAGTGTAACCTTATCATTGAATACACTTGAATCCTCTTTCGATAGAACGTTTTCCCCATCTAGTAATATTGATAATGCTCACTCAGTTTTTATTGTTATATTTTTCAAATGTGGTTGATTCAGATCAATTGATTTTTTCTCAATTGATGGTTGGAACCGGCTCAATATACAGACAGGGAAAACTCAGCACACTCCTAAAGTACCACTGGACCATGTCTATACTTACCAGACCTATTAACAACTTGATTATAACCCCTCATAATAATCATCCCCGTCCCTCACTCCACCAAACCCTCCTCTGGGGGACAGGAGTTTGGTGGACCTTGAGGACTGTGTGGTGGGGGGGTGGAGAATGGGGGTACCACCTCTACTTGCCTGGCAGGTTGTTGATGTAGCCACCGTCCATTAGCAAGTTTCCATCTTTGGGGTCGCAGAGAGGCGGCAGGTACCCAGAGAGGGTCATGCTCGCCCGTACATAGCGCCACAGAGAGCCTGACACACCAGGGAGGGAAGGAGGGAGGAGGAAGGGGGGAGGGGGATAACATCTCAATAATGTTTGCTATACATTTCAGGTTAGTTCGGACACAGAACGCAATCCCAACATCAGAGGGAGGTCGGATAAAGAAAGGTAGCCGATCCCTGCAAAGGCTAGGACTGTGGTTCTGCCCACCTTTAGACTCTGCTGTACACCAATGCAAACCTCGTTACCTTGCACAGAGACCCTGAGTGACTTGTGCGTAAGGTAAAAAAGTAAATGGCAACCAATCACAGAGCACCAAGGCTGTTTGGATCTCCAAACACTGTCACAACTACAGCGTTTCTCAGCAACACCTCCTTTCCAAAGCAAAAATCCACCGATTCTGTATATTTAAGTTGAAACCAATCATGATAACCTGAGGAGAGTAAGCGGCAGATGTTGTGACAATGTCTGGAGATCCCTCACCGTGAACATGGCAGGGAAGCACCCAGCCTGCCCAGTCCTGCAGTCCAGCTCAGTGCCAGCAGGGGGCCAGAGCAGGATGGGTGCTGCATGGGTTGGAAGGATAAGGAGCACCACAGAGAAAAGCGAGGGGGGGGGGGGACATCTGTACATGGAGAATGTGTGAATGCTGAGGAAGAATCATTTTATTGAAATAGGAGTTTTGGGAACATATCACCTACAGCTTTTCATTTCTTTGCTCTTGATTTATTGTAAGTTACGGGCTTTATCCCATTTGTAGCTACGATGTGCAAAAGCAGGATCCAGAACACATATTCCCGTATAATACAAACAATATATAGAAAAACTAAAAAAGTAATACATGCCATATATATATATATATATATATATATTCATGAGAAATATATTGATTGCCTTACAGTGTTTTACACTGGCATGCACACAGAAGCAAGCAAAGCCAGGGGAGAGGACAGGTGTAGGAGAGACTGAACATGTTCCTGTAGGTAGAGGTGATTGAAATGAAACTCCTCATGAGGAAGAAGCTGAAGTTCAGTCCAAAAAAGGACAGACGCATGTGGGCCCACCGGAAACACACAATGATCCACAACAACAGACAGATGCGATGTTGATATGGTGCAGCCATTCACCGTCTCCAGTAAGTGTCAACTTAACCACCACGAGCTTTCCTTTCATCACAACAAGCACTACTGTATGCTCTCTCTCTATACCCGATCTCACACCGAGAATCCAGCTGCACCCAAATCACTTAAGTTTGATTTACATTGGCCAAGATGAGCTTCCTGCAAGTTAGCAACTGTATTTTTGTAAAAAAAAAAAATACATTAAAATAAGCAAGTACAGTGGTTCTTACAAGCCACATCCACAACTTTATAGTTAAAAAAAACAGAAGGTAAAAGTTTACCAAATAAAACACAGTGGTCCAGAAGAAGCCAGTCTGTCATGCATCTCTCCATGACCCATAGATGTCAAGACATGCATGGGCAAAACCTCACATCTACTAAGAAAAGTAAAAGTGATCGGTTATATTCACAGGTGGCACCAAGCTAACTTTAGAAAAGTCTGCTGTGTGTGAGAATCAAAAAGCCAATTTGAATTTATGATATGTACCAGTGAAGGACGAGGCACTGGGTAGTAGTGGAAATAGTGGATTTAGTCTTTCCTTCCAAACCATGGGCTCCCAATGTCCACCTGGTCAGGGTGGGGTTAGTTACGAGAGAGAACTTGGGAGGGAGAGGACAAGAAAGAGGAGGAGGGTAGCCGAGTGGTTGATTGTCGACTTAGGGATGGGGGGGGATGGGGGGGGGGGGGGGGGGGTTTTGGTGAGCGGTTGTTTAAAATCTGACCTGGGACATTGTTAACATAGCAACCATCCACAAGCAAGTGGCCATCCTTGGGGTCACACAGGGGAGGTAAATAGGGTGTGTAGGAGGCGCTGGCTCTAACATATCGCCAGACGCAACCTGTCGGGAAATGAAGATGGAGAAGGAGGAACACATCAAATATGGGCCGGACTCATTGTCACAGATGGAAAAAGAGAGCGAGGAAGACATAGAGGAGAGAGAGAGAGGGGAAGAAATGGAGAGAAAGAAAACGCCCGCAACATAGAGGAGAGCAAGAAGCTGCCAGCAGCAAGACAGAGAGGAAGGGGAATACAATGTCAACAAAATTATTCACTCATGCCTACGGCAGTAAATTCTAGCACGAGGCCAATTCAAAATAAAAGCATATTCTACGGCCAATTATATAAAACTATTCAAAGGCTGATTAAGGAAGTACGATAGACTTTTGTTCAGAATGACGACAAGATACCAAAATATCAACACAACAACATTTACTACAAACAGCACAATGTAGGCTAAGTATGTTGAATCTGTGATATAAATGACAACAAATATGTTGGATGAATGACACCAGATGTATGTAAATGAACTGAAAACAGTGGTGCGAGGTTTGTTTGATGTGTTCATTAATCATATTAAATAAAGTAGTACTAGCATTGTTAGATGACTGGTCGGACAAGCAAGGTGGGAGGAAGGCAGGCAGAGAGAGAGAGAGCGGGGGAGATAGAAAAAGACCACTAGAGAGGCAGAAGGATGGAGGAGGAGAAAGATGGAGAGAAAGAGCGAGAGAGAGAGAGAGAGAGAGAGAGTTCTTCATTTCAAGAAGTGCTTTTTGGCGTTAAACTAAATTCTCGTAAATGTAGACTGAAGAGGAAACTGCAAGTGAAGCTGGACAATGTTTGAGAGGAAAGATCTCAGTCTTGTTGGTTTTTTTCTCATTGGATAAAAGTAATGCAAACTCATGACACCGTGTTCCTTACACCCATCAAAACGACTGGAGCCAACGCGGCATATTTTGAATAGCACCACGCTGGCGTTGTTTGACGAAAGCACACCAGACAAACTACAGAAAGCACAGAATGGTGATGAGTGAGAGAAGCAACGTGGGATGTCGTTAAGGAGCAATGAGGGGGAAGCAGGGCGGAGTGTTCTGGATCCTACATGTTGACACGGACATGGGACGGGAAGTCAGCGACTACACAAGTTATTTTGTCTATGGCGTATCCTACGGATGAGCAGCGCCTGTGATGTCTCTCTATATGCAGAAAGACCTGACGGAGGTGGTGTATACACACATGAGGCATAACCTGAGAGTTTTAGACACAAATGTGATGGACAAAAAAAAAAACTATGTCTAAGTCAGAAAGATGGTAAAAGATTAGAAAAAAAAGAAAGAACCAAAGGAAGGAAATAAAGAAATGAAAAGGGAAGAAACTAGTGCAGTAAAAGAGGCAGATGCCATTAACGATGAGACGGAGGCTTCGCTCCAGTAGTTAATTCATACATATGCCAGGAAGCAAACCCCTCAAATCCAGTAATCAGCCTGAATTAGAACAATTCAAAACACTGCCTTCACAATGGAACTAGCGATGGCTTTATTTGGTGCACAATGCGATCATTTTGGTTTTGCATTTGATTATGCTGCATGGCATTAAAAATTTGCACACTGGATTTGCAGGGTTGGTCAGAATAGATCTACTTTAGCTTAATGTTAGTGATGGTGCATTTCTTACGCAAGTCAAACAGAACACGTGCCTCATTATTTCAGTAAATACAGACACACAGAAACATCTACATAATACCTTCTTTTGTACGCATCTAGTGAAATCCCTGTCCTTGGTCGTGGCATACTCCAAATGAGTTTGTAACCGGCATGTTTATGGAGGCAAAATAGTGGATTTGACTAAAATGAAGCAATGCATCTGGCTTTGGTGGCTGCAATTTATGGAGGCTGGCCACTCTAACTTATTTGGGTTATTTCACCAACCCCAAACATACTCTTGGTTGCAATTCTTCCACAACATGAGGTAAATGGCAGTAGGTATTTTCTAAATGTTCTCCGAGTATTGTGTTTTCGGATAAAAGTCCATTACATTCTACTAGTTTTAACACGTTTTGTTGCGAGGAACTTAAAACTGTCTACTTCCAGTGAGACCTGCGAGGTCCTCCAGCAGGTGTGGACACTATTACTCAAACACACAGAGTCGTAGTAACTGCTTTGAAGTTTGCTGAAAGTTCCATATTCAACAGCAGAGAACACACCGTCTTTAATTTAGTTTGGAGTATAGCCACCTTAAACCCTACATCTAAGAGCATGCGGGTCTGTCACTCTAGATGATGCATAGGTCAGTTACATTGTGTATTTCCGCAAGTTGTGCGTACTAATACAATACTTATAGTTGTATAAAAGATTTTTAAAAATGCCTAAAGTACCTAAAGTCACTTCCAATATATTCACTTAGGTAATAGATTTATTAACTGTGCCATTTTACTTCTGACTGACTACTGCGAGCATTAATCCTTGTTGAAACATTAAATTATGACAATTAAACACATTAGTTCTCAGAGTAGTATTATTGATTAAGCTGTGTTAAATGTTGACTTAAGCATTTACGCATGCTCTACATTCTATGTCTTTTTTATCCGTGTTTGCATTCATGTGAGCTCATCTAAAGCTAGTACCGCCTTGAGCTCATCTAAAGCTTTCAAAAAACAACATTAAGCCAATCACAGTAGTGATTTGATAAAGAGGGGTGGCGGCCCATGCAGTCAGCTCAGCTGTCACTTACCATCCTGGTGAACACGCATGGCTGAGGCCGTGATGTCAGTAGTGACGTTGAAGTACGGCAGCCACAGGTCCTGTTGGGCACAGAGAGTATCATAAACCGGATTACTACTCTCCCAGTGAGTGACTTAAAAAACAAGACCCCTGTCATGTTCCGGCAGACTTTACTGCAGCGGTACAGAAATCCTCTTTCAAATGTTTTGTACCGCAGTCCCTCACCTCGGCTTGCTTGTCCTGGAACACTTTATGGATGCTGGTGTTGAAGGCAGAACCAGAGAACATGGAGGTGATGGGATAGGTCAGATCCAGGACTGTTTTGAACACTGAGTTCATTGCCTGTTCCACAACAAAATACAGAGAAATCAGACCTGTTCTTGTTTGAAACCAAAAGGTTTTCCCTTCTCATCAGTTACTTGGCATTCCACTTCAAACAGATGGAAAGACATTGAATTGAAGTATAATTGAACTGCTGGGTAAATTAAACCTTTTTTAATTCGAAGAGATAAAATGTCAATAATGCATCTAGATGTGTGCTGTACCTTGGACCACTCCCTGGCTCTCTGTTTGGTTCTGACGGCACTCCTCTCCTCAGCGTACAGCGCTCCAATGAATGAGCCGATCGAGGTCCCACCTACTATGTCAATAGGAATCCCTGCTTCCTCCATAGCTTTAATCACACCTACATGAGAGCAGCCTCTGCATGAGGGAAAACAAAAGTCAGGTACATTAAATGACTTCATGTGATCTAAACTGCACATTGAACTGAGCGATAAGTGGTAAACAAATGACTGAGATGTCCCTTTGGTATAAAAGAGTACATTTTCATCATCCGACTGTAGTGTGATAAGACAAGTGTATTACATAATATTGATGTCAAGTGGGGTAGATAGCGTTGTTAACATGACAACACCAAGACTTGTGAAACACAAACTGCTCTCCACGTGTCTGTACAGATAGCTGTGGCTCAGCCCAGCTCACCTGGCTCCTCCTCCTCCCAGCACCACGGCGATGCTGTTTCCAGTCAGGACCCGGGCCAGCCGAGAGAAATCACTGTGCCTGTCTGCCGTTTTCTCAAACACCTTCTCATATACCTCCCTCTGCACAAACAAAGAAAATACGGTTGAAAATACAGTAAAAGCAGAAAACTTTCTATGAACATTTTTCATTTTAATGTGCCACACTTTTAAAAGGAGCGGCTAATCAATTTCCTTCACCACTGGGTCTACCTTCTAGCTAGCATAGCATAGCATACCATACCATAACATTATACAGAATATAAGTCGTAAAATTTCATGAAAAACAGCCATCACAGTGAAGTATGCTTCGTACTAGTTTACTCGGGCTGCGTCTGGAGAAGACCCTGCGGGGACACTTGAGGTGCAGATGACCGGAGCACCAGCTTCGCATGTTGAGCCACTCAACCGTCCTGGAGGGTCCTGGCCCATCCTCTTTGTGCAGAAGGACCAGCTGCTTCAGCGCCCGGACTGCTGTGTTCTCCAGCATCTGCTCCACCTGGAGGGGAAGAGAAGAAGATGGTAGCAAGAGTTAGAAAAGAGACAAAGGGAATAAGCATACTTTGTACTTTGAAAAGTTTGTTACCAGAATTTTTATCCCCCTTTTACTTTTGCTTTCTTAGACACACACATACCTCTCCCAGGGCAGGTTCCTGGTCGCCAAGGCAGACAATGAGGATGCAGTCAGCCTGGCGGATGCAGCGCTGAGTCCACGGGGTCATACTGTTGTCAGTCTGGTACAGGACAATCCGATTGATGTCCTCCTGCTGGGCCAGCCAGCCGGAGAGACGGTACTCGTGGACACTGACGGATACAGGAGAAACGCAGGGATGAGGTTATGGCACAGGGTTTTAATTCACCAAAAAACAGACACCGACAGTGACTGAGAGGAACGGAATGCGACAGGGGATCAAAAAGATGTCGCAGAAAAGAGACTATGGAAGATATAGTGAGTGGAAATGATAGCAATTAATACAGACACACTTAAAATGGAGAAAAAAAGAATGTGAGAAAGAATTAAGAACAGCTGCAAAGCTTTCGTGATGATGCCTCATGAGACTTAGAACCGAGTTGTTGTTCGACTTACTTGTCCAAAGCAGAGGCGCCCAATCGCTCTTTGATGATTTCACTGGTCAATAGCAGAGTGGGGCCTGTAAGTTACAGAGACAGGCAGACAACTGAGGCATCGTTGAAATGTATGAAAGCATTAACCATAAGCATATACAACTTCCATGTGTATTCCAATCTGTACTAGTAAGCAATGTATATTTCTAGTATCACAAGGAACGGAACAGAAATTTAGCAATCCCAGATAAAAAAGAAAGAAAAGGGCTGTTGTTGACCTACCAATAGCACTGAGGGCATGGCTGAGCTCCAGGTTGAATGCGTTGATCGGCACCTCATCACACACAGGCAGGACAGCCACAGTGGAGAGGTTGCTGGCAGGGTTGGTGACATCAGCACTGGCTGTCATACTGGGCAGACCCAGGGCTGAACCTGGAAGACAGGACCACAGTGTTTAAATGGTAGTATACCGTACGTCAAATGGATCAGGCTGGACTCGCAAAGACGGAGGGAGGGAGCACGTCTTTGAGAACATAATATTCTCCTCATCGTCACCTTACCTGAGAAGGGCCCTCGACCCTGCTGCAGGTTCCCCAGAATCTTCTGGCCCAACAGGTGTATCAACCTCGTCACCACCTAAACAGACATCAAGCATCAGTACCATTTCAGCCACACACACAACCAAAACCGGTTCAAGAGGAAGACACTGACCTGGGGATATCGTCTTTTGATGTTGTTGAGCGTTCCCTCGGGCAGTTTGACCAGCTCTGTGTCCCTCACAGCGTGGACGGTGGTGGCTCGAGGCTGTCTGGTCAAGGCCTCCACCTAAAGTACGAGGCAAGGTTACACTAATATTATTAGAATTATACTATTTACAGAATTAGATTCCAGTGATGGCGGCGTGATTGTTTCCAACTTGTTATGATCCAAACATTCCTATAACTTGAAAGCATTGTTAAGTCCAAGAGTTAAAATGTTTTGTTAAACATGTTTATATCTAACAAAATAAAATATGACGACAGTAAAGTAAATCTAGTATATAAAATACATCTCATTAAAATTATCCTGATGTGGTTAAATCTACACCAATTCAAAACAAAAACACTGCACTACTCGCAATAGCAGCTCATCAAGGCACCAAAATAATAATAGTGCCCCTCGTTTGTTTTTGTTACCAGCTTCATATTTCATTTAGATAGCGGAGGTTTCTTTTACATGCAGGCAGACGGAGAGGAAAAGACTTGTTCTCACCACTCCAATGAGGTCTCCTCTGCCGTATTCCCCAACAAGTTCTTTCTTGCCATTTGCCTTGCGGATGACTGAGCGTAGACGTCCATTCAGAACAATGTATGTGCAGTCTGACTGGTCGTCCTGTCTGTGGATGGGATATTACAGTGATGAATAAACAGTACATGAATACACTGACAAAATAAATGATGCGAAAACAATGAATTGACCAAGTACAGTTTGCACAAGGGAGCTAAATATTTGTTTCACCTGTAGAGGGCTCTGCCAGCCTCCACGGCCATCCAGTCAATAGCGAAGTCCATCTGCCTGACGAAAGGGGACATGCGGATGGCCACCGTGTGAGCCGCACTCAGCACCACACTGGGCTGCTCCCTCATGATCCTGCAGGGGGCAGCATACGGCACAGGCAAAATTAGAATGGTTACAGCAATTTTGGAAGATTATGGAAAATAATTATGGACATGTTCCAAGTAGGCCTCAGTGCTCCTGTGGACTGTAAATAAAAAAAGTTTCATAAATATTTTTCATTCTCGTTTGTTCCACATTCAAGGCGATGAACTCACTCGTAGAAATCTGACTTTGAGATCTTGAGGTAAGTACAGTCGCGGATGGCCTTGACGGTGAAGATGAGGGGCTCTCCAGTGAGCACAGCGAGCTGGCCCACCATCTCCCCCGGGTGGGTCACAAACAAGCAGACAGCTTCCTGCTTGTCAATCATCCTCTGGTAGACGTGCAGACACCCAGACAGGACAAAGTGCAGACTCACGTCCTAAAAGAGCGAAATGAGAAAGAGAGAGAACAGTAAGAGGGGAGGACGAAAACGACTTTGCTGTATTATCTGACGTTCATTTTTTTGTTGCTATTATTAAGTTTATATATTTACTTAAAATACTTGCGGCTACTACTACTACCCTCAACTTCACTGCTTTGGTAGTAGCTGTACTCTGCCTTTGTACGGCAGTGTGCAGCTAAGGGTAAACATACTGGACCCGTTTTTTGTCAAAGATCTGTTTTGTTTTTTAAATACCTGGTCTCCCTGTCTGGCTAAGACAGCTCCTGCTTTTGCGTGGTGCAGAGTCACTTTCCCAGTTAACAAGGACGGGTCCTGGATTTAAGAAGAAAGACAAAAAAATAAATCCAGTCAAGCAGTAACAAAAGTCAACAACGTGGATGAAATGTCTTCATTCTACTTCGTGGATGAAAATCAAGCCCCAGACGGCGATGCAACATTCAGTTCAGTTATAATGCTTGATCTAGTTACATCAACATGATGTTTTGAAATATTAGGTGTAGCAATTTCAACTCAAGAGCCACACAGAGGGTTCACCACAGATTACACAAAACGTGTGTTTGCAACTCATGCTGAAAACTGGCACAGAGAAGTTGAGCATTTAGCTGAACTCTGGTTTGTCATTGTGTTATTTGTGTTTTTTAAGCGTACTTAGAGTGCATATTCTTTTCTCATATACAACCAAACACACAGCTCATGTCTTCACACGGTGGCTTCACACTGCAGCCCGCCCTCCACTCATCCATAGACCAGGCCCAGTTCCTCTAGAGTGGGCCTGCTGACTGACCCTCTTTCCACATCATAATCTGTCAGCAGATGCTCCTGGGTGATTTGAGACAATGTGCTCACTCATGTAAAAAAAAGGAATAGTGCAATGAGCCAAGTATCATTTCTTAATCCCTGAGAATTTGGTCCTAGAGTATACTGTATATGATGATTGTGAGAGCATTGCACTGACTGCATCTTTAGATCCACCTTTACTTGCAGTAGTTTGACGGCTTCAGCTGAAAAATGTTCAAAAAAGTAATGTGATGTTATGGAAACAAACCTCAATCTTCATGAGTTTAAGGATCTCTTTCTGCGCTTCCTCAAACAAAGCAGCATTGGCTCGACTGGCTACAGGTGTAAAAATGTTGTCCACTCCCGGCTCTTCCTCTGGGTACAGATAGATCCCTGAGGGGACCTCATCTACTGTCACCTTCCTCTCCCGCTGGTCCTGGGACACAGACTGGAATCATACAAGTACAAGAATATGTTTGATGGGTCTCAATCTAAACGGTTTCAACATAGAAAATCTGCCACTAAAAAAACAATGAGTTATCTGTGAAATATCGTGGTGAGGTGATTAACTAAGACTGATGAATGTCGGATAATATCCTGTTTTTGACTGACTGATTTATTCATGTTTACATGTTCAAAACTTATATAATGTTATGGAACAATACAATTATTCTAATACCACACAGCAGAGAGCATTTCTTGTAAAAAACAACAACAACATGCTTATCTTTAAAAAAAGAAAACATTTTGAAAAGACTCATTTCCGGACATTAAAAAATGTACCGGACTACTTTGTTGTTATTCATGCTCTGTAGCAGACTTTTAGTCTTTGTTCAGAAAGACCACTGGAGCTTCTGGTGCGATTACCCAATTTTATGTCAGGAGGTCAATTGAGTAAACCTTATCTCATCTGTGTCTCAAGAGTCTGCCGTGTACTGACCCGAGTAAACGCAGGAGGGGTGTTGCCATCCTCGGCAGAGACGGATATCCGCCCCCTTTCGTATGCCATGTCAAAGTCCGATCTCAGACTTTTCTGCATTCCTGCACAGACAAAAATAGATATCCAGTCTTTAATTAACATTCTACTTTTCTTACACACAGGTTTCCATTTACTACACTCTGAGGAGGAGCATAAAACGATTGTAAATTAAAAACATCTGTCTTGGAGCGCCTTGGTAGCTAAGTAGTTGCAACACATGCCGTATAGCCAAAACGTCCCAGGTTTAATTTCGGCCTTGGGGATCTCATACCCTTCTCTCTCCCCTCCCCCCTCAAAACAAATGAAATATCAATCTCTAGCCACATTAGCCAATTTCAGCACAATGGACCTTTCAACCTTTATTGTCATAGAGGCATTAGTGAGACAAAGTGGGCGATGAGATTGCAGTTTGCCTTCAGTATGATTCATCTGCTGGCTATCATGTTTCAACATCATGCCAACAATGTCTCTGTGTTCACGAGCCCCTCGCTGCAGATGGTTAAGATAAACCTACCTATTCAGCCAGACATTTTTAGACCTTGTTTTATTTTTTTACACTTTATTGTTTTCACTTATTTTATTGTTATATCTATTTTGAAAAAAAAATTATATTTTTTATTTATCACTTTTTTTAAAAATTGTATTCAAGTTGTATAATTTAATTCTATAGAATTTATCTAGTTTATATTTCACCCTGTTTTACTATTACTGTTATTATAGCTTTAAATGATCTTTTATTACATTGTTATAATTGTATTGTCTTGCGTGCATTGGTCTCAAATTGTAAAATTGCTAAACTGCTTCTGTCTTTTCACGGTCCAGACTTTTTTTGTCTTATTTTGAGCTCGTCAGTCATCTGTGAACTTTAACCTGTATAAGAGAGGCTATACAAATAAAGTTTGATTGATCGATTGAAGATCACTTTCTAACTGCGTTTCATTTAAAAGGAGAACGGAGAACACGTCTTTTCAAGCAGCTACAGCGAGGTTACACAGTGTTTATAAAAAAGAAGCTAACTACAGGGGTTCATAGCTTGAATAAAATGCTTTAGAACTGGTTTGAACATGTCCACAGACAAGGTGTATTGTAGATAAGTATGACATCAGAAGAGCCAGGAGTGGGCTGATTTAAGGACACTTGTGCTTAACCCTTTCATGGTGTGGTGGTCGTCTAACTCAACCAACCCTTATTATTATTATTATTATTATAATATACAGTTAAAACATATCGTGTTTATTGGTTAAACTAAAAGGAAAATATGAAAACATCTCTCTGAACAGGAGAGACGTCCCTCACCAGCAATGTCCACAGGCATTGAGATGGTCCTGCTAAGAGTTGGCACTGTTGCGCCATCCTTCCCTTGGTCCCCTCCTGTACATACAGGAAACCACAAATGACGCTTTTAGTAAGAAACCAAACACAGAAGTAACACTAGAGGAAAATGAAGAGTCAAGATATATTTATATCGGTTTTTTTTCTCCCCACCTGCAGCTTCACCCTTAATGGCAGCTTCCCGCTGCTCCTCGGTTACGGTCAGGCTGCCAAAGCGCTTACCATGCCGGATGGGACTGGTGCGAGTTGGGTGAGGAGACGGAGGTGGCAGACGCGAGGGCTGCATTTCCTATAGGACAAGCGTGAATAATATGATATGATGCATGTGTGTGTGATGGGGGAGAATGGAAACAGAGACACAACATTAGCGACTCAAATCATAATAGAAACAGCATGCGTACCGAGCTAATGATGCAGAATTCCTGACAAATGCCAAACCACATCACCAACAGATGTTTGCATGGCTGTCTGGTGTACTGTATGTGGTGTGTGTGTCAAACTCACATGGCTAAAGAGCTCATTGGTGAGCCCCAGATAGTTGTGCAGGGCTAGGACCGTTACTCTTTGGAGACGAACCATGATAATCTGAACAGAGGAGACAGGAAGTGAGTCGTTTCCCATACATGCAAACTGACCACCAAAACCACTGCAGTTTTATAAGTGCACACATTTCTGAGCAACAGTAGTGGGAAACGGAAGAGGAGGGAGGGAGAGAAACACAAAAGAGAATAAAGAGAATTAGACACACAACTCACCTGTACTACCCGCACCAGGCTCTCAGGGTACTTCTCAAATATAGCGAGGAAGGCCTCTACAGGTAAACGGAGAACATTGGAAACCTCTGCAGCCCGTGCCGACACAGTTCTGTAAGGCTTCTGGTGGCCCTGGACACAAATATCCCAACGAATACTTCAGAAAATGTTTTCACAGTCAAAGAAGCTCTGATGTGAGAGGTTGCTTCTTCTTGTCGGTTCTTGTAGTCATGTGAACTTTAGTTGTCCATTTAAAAAAGCTAAAATCTTAATGTTATCATTTTAACTTGTGCTTTATTTAAGATGGACATTGATTTTCACTGAATTACAACTACAGATCAATGTATGAGTCACATGTGTGCCAGTGGAGAAGGTTGGGTGAGTCAGCTGGTTCATGTGAATGATGCGGGAGGGAGGAAGTGGATGGTGTCCAATACACTGATGGCCAGGACTGCAGGTCATTCAGGAAACGTGTGAATAATGTGTATGCGTGTTATGAAGAAGCCCATGTGTGAACAGCTGTGACATACTGTGATGACATCCAGGATGCTGAGGAGGCTGTGGACACTGTCTCCGGGGTAAACCTCCTTCACCACACTGTCTTTGCCATCCTGGAAGACAGGAAGAAGACATTCCATGTGCATTAAGTTTTTGCATATCAGAAAATGTAATCCCCCCCCCCAAACACAGAAACAACTATGACATGCAGGAAATCCACATGTAATCACACACACACACACACACACACACACACACACACACACACACACACACACCGCTCCAGTAAGGCACAATTCGAGTTTTCCATCCTGAACCACGTAGATGCTGCTGTCAGGCTGGCCCGGCCTGAAGACGTACTCCCCTTGTTGGAACTTTTCAAACACCATGTGTTTACACAGCTCCAGGAAGAGGGGCTTCTCAAAGTGACCCAACACACTGCAGTGAAGGACAACACAGAGGTTAGGTTTGTACAAACACACACAAACAAACAAACAAACAAACAGGTGTGTACAGGTGTGATCACTAATCTGTAAAGTTTGGATATTTAAAATCCGTGTTAAGTTGCATGGAATGCTATTAACTGAGCTTCATGAGCACCGTTTGCTCGGTAACCGCTGCACAACAGAGCCAAACATGTCAAAAGGCATCCAGCTCATGTGTCATCGGAGTCGCTTATCAATCATGTAAATCAACTTTAGAAGACTGCGGTACACAATAACACAGATATGACAAAGAAGACAAAACCTACCGGACATTTTTGAGCATGTAGAGCACCTCAGAGGGCAGGTGGGAGTTGGCCACATCAAACTCGGTGAGGTCAGCCTCCAGCACTGAGGGAGGGGGCTCCTTGGCCTGCAGGATGGGCACCTCCTTCTTAAAGCGCAGGATCCTTCACAGCAGAAAGGCAGTGGGAATAGACGGGTAAGTGTGCAAACCACTAATGAGAGAACTGGCCATGACAGTAGTAGTAGAAGCTGTATTGTTGGTGAGAGTGAGCTTTCTGATGTACTTTTTGGCAATGTTAAGCATCTTCTGCTTCTTCTTCAGGCGCTGCCGAGAGGAAGTGGATGTACCCACCAGGGAGGAGGTAGACTGCGAGACCTGTTGAAAAGCATATTGGTTTAAAAAAGGTATTCCTGTGATAGTAGTAGACTAAAAGACTAGCTGGCCGTTGAAGCCAGGTACTGTATCACTTTCTGCCACAGACTCACTTTGCGCATGATCTTTCGCCCGTAGAACATGACTTTGTCCCTCTTGCGAAAGCGGTATTTGGGTGCCTCCTGAGCTTCTATGTCTAAAATATAAGAAATGACAAATTACCATAGAAATACATACAAGTTCGTATTGTTTTTTTCATCATTGCGTGCCCTCAGTGCTGGGGCGACATACGGTTCTCAGCAATTACTGACTTCGAAGCTGGATCCGCCGCAAGATGAAGAAGATGAGGATGGCAATGAGGACTATGGCGATGCCCGCACCAATCACCATCCCCACCATCTGAGGAGAAGAGAAGAAAAGAGGAGAAGGGTTGATGCGTGTACACGGTTAAAGTCTGCAGAATGAAAAAATGAAAATCGCAATGTAAACGAAAATTATATTTACGCGTACGTTATTTCTGTTTTAAAGTGTTAAAAAGTATCACTTCGTTATTTCATTTGCATGCTCCTCAAACACTATTGAGCTACATTTTATTCTCTGGCTCTCTCTTTCCATGGTGAAACATGACTGGCATGGCACTGGTACAATTTCCCGCACTCACCATGCTCGTCTGTAGTTCCTCTTCCACAAGTGTCTTGATGTTATCAAAACCCTCCTAATGTAAGAGGAAAAAAGAAAGAAATCACTAATCCAAACTTCCACAGGCAGAGTGCTAGTTGCTTAGTAGCATACCCAACGTATGCAACCACCTGCAGCATATTGAGCCCGACACACAGTGTGGGCCTGAAGGTTTCACTTCCATTGAAGTGTAATGGAATGTGTGAATAAGGGATTTGCCCTGGAGGCAGGAATGTCTGACTGACTATGAGTGCCCGGGAAACGAAAGGAGGAAAATATGAACATCTTATCTGACCTTTTTTTAATGCGTGCACCTTTCCAAGTGTTAAAAACAATAAGCACCACTCACAGCTTCCTCCCTCTGCTCCTTATGTACTGACGGAGGATTCCCGATGTGAAGCTGTTGGGTTCACAGGCTAAAAAACTGGCACGCTGGAAAGGGCAAACCGAGGCTGGATGGCGAAATGCAGCCCAGGTGGTTGGCGTTTTTCCATGAAGGTATCTAAACAAACCTGTAGCTGCAGGGAGCACGCAGGTCCTGCTGACAATGTAAGCCTGACGACATGGCTGACAACATGACATAATGACAACTGATGGAGCTGGACTTTGGGCGAGGCAGAGGGGCGCGATAAGCAACTAAGCATGAAAGAAACCAAGAAGATAAGAGAAGATTCCTAATCATGTGCATTGCCTATCGAAAACAAGCGGCTAAGCAGAGGAAGAATAATGGTAGAAAGCGGAGTAGTTTTTCCTTTTGGCTTGATCTGACTTTTATTTTTTAAGTTCAACACCGAACTAAGCGCTTCTTCACACAACAAAACAAGACTGTCCGTACAAGGAGTGGAGATCCTGTGGCCAAGATAAGCGCGTTTGTTTTTACGGTGTGCGTGTGTGTGTTTGTGTGTGTGTGTGTGTGTGTGTGTGGCTACCTTGCGATCAAATACAGCATTGCAAGAGCAACAGTGACATGTTTTTTGTACTCTGGCTGTTTTCAGCAAATGAGACTACATGTCTGCTGTTATTGGTTATTGATTAGTGTGTGAGGAGCTAATGGTTCTTTGGCAGTAAAAGGCCTAAGCTATATTATAGATGGGTGAGTGCATAGGCCGGATGTGCACACAGAAATATGCCTTAGTAGGCGCATCAGAGTTTGGAAATAAAAGTGTGTAAAGTGAACACGTGGGAGCAAATTTACAGCAAATAAAGCCAGTGAGCAAACCGACCTCATTGGTGACGTCTCCCTGGACCTCTTGTTCCGAGGTACTCTGTCCCATTGTAACCCTGTTTCTTCATAGGGATGGTCCATCAACGGCCACTGGAAACAAAGACAGACAAGCATACTAAACAGGCCGGTTTCACGGGGGACATTTTGACATATCACAGTAGGGAAAAGCACACGAGAATGGTTGATGGTCTGCTGCCAAAACGGTCGAGCAAAAAGGAGAAAACATGCCTACGTTCACACTTGCACAAACACATAGAGAAATCCAATTATTTTTCCTGACTTTTCAGCCGCATCCGTGGACAGATGCCACCGTACTTGTACGAACTCAACACCCACAAACATCCATTCACTCCTCAGGACTCAGCAGAGTTTCTTTAAGGCTGCTGCTCAACGTCTGGCTATTTAAGGCCTTTCTCATTTACTGCGAACTACAAAAATGACCTCAGCAGCACAGTTTGTTCACTTATTAAGAAAATGTGTGTTTGTAACAATGGACACGCATGCACACAAATAAACACCAAATTGTTCCAAGCTACGGCAAACCAATGGGAAACGTAAACACAAAGCTGTTAGCACAAAGCCTTACGGGGTAGAAGATTTGAAAGTCCCTGTTATTCTTCACAACGATTAGCAAACTTAATCTCTCCTTAAAATCAGTTCAACTGAGTACTAGAATCAGAGAGGGATCAAATAATTGCATCCTACTGGGACAGGCTTTGTCTGTCTCACACACACAAACAGCAGGGTATCTAGATAAAACTATCCAGATGGTAACCCCTTCCCCTCTTTTATCCATCCATCCATCCACTTCCTCAGAGGATGATCTTCTTACTGTCCCAATTAATTGGTACCACGTCTATTGCTGATTCAGTGACAACATTTAAGGCAGCATAACAAAAAATGCAAAGTTCGTGGCCATAGTTCTTCTCTATAATTTCTTCTTCTTTTAATTTTTTTCAGCATGTCAATTGGAATACTTTTATGTGTGAGTGATTGCAGTCGTGATGGAGAGGTTTTCACCTTTATACAGCTTAATGGCTTTGCGAGAAAATGTTGTTTTTGAAATAAGCTGAGATGCCTGTACCTTTAAGAAACAAGCTACTGTTGTGTTAATGAAATGCAGTTTTTTCTGCTTTTGTTTTACACACTGCACATACAATTATTACTGTGTTTCCTCCAACCGCTCAGCTAAACAATGCCCCGACATAGGAACAGATACTTTTACATACTGTAACATTTTACCGACCCAGCTTGCACCTTTTTACAGTCATATAACCGAGCACACTTGCGGGGAGTAGCCCAGTAACACCAAAATGCTCGGATCACTGAGCTACTACAATAATTGAAGCAATAATTGAAGCAATACTGATGCAATGGTTCCCAAAGTTCATCCAGGTCGGCTACATACCAGTTCCCTGCCCACATCTGCCAGAACGGACTGATTCAGCTGACACAGGCCTATGTGCTGTAGCTGGGACAACAAGCTTCATTCACCATCTGTGGACAAATAAGCAGCTACGCTAGCTTAGCTCGCTGGGGTCCAACGATGTCTGTACTCTGAAAGTGAGGCTGGAGGGAAAACAAGCTGGCTAAAAACACACTCCATGTTTGCTGAGGGCATACAAAGTAGGCTACAAGAACTAGCATGGAGAACCATATAAACAAGCAAGTGTCTCATGGCTAATGGCCAGAACTTCAAGAGCATTAGAGAAAAGACATTAACATATCCATAGAATGGACTACAAACAGGCCTCTTGTTTTGTGTACCAAGTATTTATCTGAAGGAGGTTTGAATGCATGTTAATATTTGTCGATCAAGATTTTAAAAAACAATTGTGATACGAGGTTCTAGTTGAATACTGCTAAAACAAAACTAAGCGGAGTAAAATGTTTGTTGCTTTATTGTTTCTTCGTCTTTTTTTTTTATATACCATTTCTGCTTGAAGAAAAGACTGAAACTTTTAATCAATTCTGTCAATCGAGTAAGCGATTAATTGACTAAATGCTTCGGGTCTAATCTGACATTTGTTTTTAATAACAATGACCATGTCTTGTGCTTATATTAACTGCTAAAAGTGGAAGAACACATCTGCCAATGATAGCATCAATGTCCCAACTATTAACCAGCCTACATATGGAGTAACATCACAGACTGACATCAGCTGCATCTTTCATCTGATGCGTTTCCTGCTTAAATCTACAACATGAGCGGCTGGTAGAGGGTGGCTGAACTGCTGCTTAGATGAAATTCAATCAGTGGAAGCTTGAGGATCCAGTGTCGCGTTACATGAAGTAACCCTGTGAGTCACAAACAAACCACAAAACACACAGTTTAAAGGCCATAAACTCTCACATGTAAAGGACGCGTATATTATAATGACATTGTGTGACTCAATCCTCCAATATTTATATTTTAATATATGCAATAAGAGGGTTTTTATTTTAAACAGAAAGTGTGAATGGAAATTTAAATATAATGATCTCATAATACTCAATACACAAATTAATAATAAATGTATGGAAATGTGTGTATGACACTTTCACCTGACCCACTAAATGTCGCTCATCTTTCAGAGCGGGGAAATCACCACCAACCAAATGTCAGCAGATTTTGGCTGCAGTTGGACTTTTCATTTATTGTTCTTCGTCAGGTAAACTCTGCAAATAGTGTCCCATTCTGAAAATTGCCAGTTCAAAATTAATACAGCTTAGCTTGTGGATTTTTGGACGTCACTGCCGTCACCAAAGTGCCGTGAAACATTTCTTACTCTTGTCTCTTGTGCAGTAGCCTCAACAAAACTTGTGTCACTCCAGATAAGAACGCTCCAACTACCAAAACGTGTTGCTACACATTGCACTTTGCTTCAGATCCCGTTTCTTTGACTCTACACGCCATTGTGTGTGGTAATAACTCTGTAAGGAGCGCAACGGCCTGCTGTCCTCTAGAGATGAGACCATTGTTCTCTATAAACAATGAAGCTACTGTTGACTCCACCGTCCAGGGGCAGACCTGGGCCGACTAATAACACATCCTCGTCTGTTTTCACCGAACACAATACACCCTCTCTAGGCCATGAGACTCACAATAACTGGCCTGTAGGATGCTGTGTTTGAACACGCATTTAGAAGATGTATGGCTGGAAAATGTCAGACACATGGTAAAAGAAAAAAAACTTGCTCCGACTGTTCCCTGATGATTTCACAGTGGGAGAAGACAAACCTCATAAAACCATGTCTTTGGTTGAATGTGCTGCTGTCAACACTTACACCAGCTGCTTTACACACATGCTGGTATCACCTTTGACCCTGGAAGTCAAGCCAAGCTGATTATTTCACTTCACACTTTAACTCTATAGAGACATGTCTTGAAGTTGTAAGTAAACAAACATCAGCTCAAATACAAGCGGCTGCAAAGTACTGACCAAGGTGAACTCAGGTTGACATCAGCTCATATTTCCCTCCAGCCAAAATAGTTTTGCATAATTTGCGCCCACAGAGGTGTTGCTTTACTGACCTGTCGTAAATTGTTCAGTGGAGTTGTAAACACGTCGAGAAGGCGGGGAACCACTTCATAAAATACCAAAAAGTGGAGTGTCCTTTCAATAAACCTCGAGCTCGTACGAAATGTAGCTGATGCACACAAGTAGTGATTGTTTTGACGCAGTGCTGCACCGTTAGCTAAGCTAGCTAACAGGCACGTCAAGTCTTTATGAGACTGTGACTGAACGACGTCAGACATAGTAATGCATTATTGTTTGTATCCACACGAGAGTAAATGAGTGATTACCACTAACGTTAGGTGAAAACGTCATCCGACCATAACGTAATCCCTGAGGCCAACGTCACTGGATAACGTTAGCTAGCATCCGATGCTACTAATGGCAGTAAACTGTGGTCATGTGGAATTAAAACAACTCAAACACGTCATTTATGTTGAAACGAAAATTAATTTTGCTGCACTGTTGTTGTTGCCTTTTTGACCTCAGACGTAGCTCCACCGTGTTTGACACACTTGGACGGATGGCCCGTCTTTCCACCGTTACTCGTTACTGACCAACGCTGAATGAGAAGTCTCAGTAAATCACCGAACCGTGAGCTGAAACCTATCAAAGTGAAACCGTGTCATTGAATAATAGATAAGATATTAAAGAAGACATTCACCTGAGCTGATGTTCTCCCGTCAATCGTCTCTGACTGTCAAATAACATACGACGGAAATCGTCTATGACGAAGCCCCTCCTATTATATTTACACCAGCATTTTTGGCCAATCAGCAGCTGAGACGCTGAAAAATAGACCAATCAAAATACAGAACTGGAATGAATGGGCTCTATCCCACCCACATATATGTAAATAAATAGTGGGCGTCCAATGATGGTTGAGGGACACAACCAGTCGATCCATGATTGGATAGTTTCAGGATGACTGACATGACATCAACCTACAACGGCAGGTTCAATTTCGAGGGTCTCAACCGGACTTCGACATGGGGTGCATCCCAAATCTCTTATTTGTCATTTCCTCGCTCCTCGATCCTCGCTTGAACCGGAAGTTGTTCTGCACCACCATATTGACGGCCGTCCCAAAGCTCTTATTTAGCTCGGAAGAGCGGGGATCGAGGAAGGAGGAGAGATCTCCGAGGAGTCATGAGCGAGGACCCACGAGAACAGCCTTCCAGGAAGTGTTTTAACAGCCGGCACGCCCCCTCATTGTTCATCTGTTATGTGATTGGACGCTGCAGCCGATCGGACTGATAAGATATTTTTCAACATGTAAACAGCGAAGACGGATCACAGATTAAACTCAAGCTTTATATTTGATTCGTTTTCTGATCTGGTTTAAATATATGTTCATTGTAGGTCTGAACAACAAAAGGACCACAAATAACTAACTTATTAGAAATATTTGTGTTTTCATGATCTGATATTTCCCTCAATAACTTTTATTTTGGATACAATTAAAGTCAGAGAGAGCTTTTTACATAATTGATCATCATTTCATTCAGTCACGTGAGGCTGATCATTCCTGAGTGTCAGGTTTGATGAGTTTTATAATTTAAGCTTAACCTGAAACATGGAGCCTAATAAATTAATGTATTAGGCTCAAGAGAAACCATAATCATATTCTGGGTGAATTAATGATGCCACAGTCACAATTTCAAAATGTACAGACGCAAATAAGTCATAAGTCAAATGCATTCTGTCGGTAGAAATCGAGCCTGCGCTTCTAAACAGAACAGTTTGTTAAATAGGTAACAGGCTACAGAGAGAAAACACATCTACAGTGATGATTACTGTGCGTCTTTATTGGTATTATTAGTTACTATTATTAAGTACAGTGATCATGTCTACAGACAAAACTTCTCAAAAGTCTCTGCAGCTGTTAAAGCCGACTGACAGCTGTGATCAGCGCACGTGACGCAACTGAGGAAAGGACGTCTCATGTATCTTAAAACATATTTCCTCGTTCCTCTCTCCTCGCATGGTTTCCTCCATGCATCCCTGGTGGGAGGGACTAAGACGCAAGGAAAGGACCCAAGTGAGGGAAACGGGGATGCAATTAAGAGACTTGCGATGTACCCCATGGACCTAATTCAGTATTAGCATTTTAGCTTACATTTATAAGTATACAATGTAAGCTACTATGCATGTTTAGCTTTATTATTGATTACAATGAATAGACTGATATCATCACATCTATTAGTTACCAGACTTGTGCTGTACTGCACCTCAACACTGCTGCTAATTGAATCAGGAAACATGTCACACGTCAATGAGATTGTTTAATACCCAAAGAAGCAACTTTGCCCTGGTGCCACAGATATCTTTTATCATACAGTGGTTACAGATATCAAATGGGGAATAGATTAACAACATAGTGAATGTCAAAATGTATAGCTTTTTCAACCGAGATGTTGAACTTTCAGAGTAAAACTATTGCAACACCGCCCCCTCGTGGGCTCTACCTACAATACCACATGCAAACCAAAATGTGTATCAAATAATAAGCCCATCACAAGATTTCTCTATACAATACATAAACTTTATTGTGAGGTGAGTTTCAGGTAAAAGGATTACAGGTCCGCGATGGGCTTGTGGGGCCAGTAGGGGTATTTGACCTTGTCCAGCTTGGTCTCTGGGAAGGTGTCGTTGAGATCCTCGATGGTCATCTGGTCGAAGGGGATCATGTTCTTGAATTTATCCAGCTGAGACAAAAATGTAAAAAGAATAGGTTATAAATACAGATTTCCCGAAGACATCCATGAGGTGTTCTACTACCACAGATAGTCTCACCTCTTGCTCATACTGAGCGATGCGGGCCATAGATCCTTCAATGTAGACTGATGCACCTTTATTCTGGTAGAGAAAAGTGAAACTATTACATCTGACAATACAAAACAACAACAACATAACAAATCTATGTTACTATTTTCTAATTATTATTCCAAAAATTCCAGTTCTGTCTCTCTTTGCTGTAATAAAAAATGTCTGTTTCAGTGTTGAATGAATTTCATGATTGATGAACTATTGTCTATGTATTTGTAGATAATAAATTATCTTAGTAGTTACAAATATATACATAGAATTGCAAATTTTGGTTTGACTGCATTGTTTTCTAATTAAAAGTCAACACAGTTTACAACAATACAGTAAAGCTGAAACTCGGGTAACACAGATTTGTTTGGCGTCATCACTTACAGATTCAGCCTCCTGTGCACTGATGGCGCTTGTCTGTGTGTCAGAAGGCTCAGGGATCAGCAGGGCTTTGAACTGTGTGCAGAAGGAACATTTATTATTTACCACTGCAACACAAACCAACAAATGCTGAACAAACTATGTAAAGAATTTCTGACTCAACTGCACCACCACCAGCTCAACTGATTATTTTTGCAGAGGAACTAAAAGGAGATTTAAACAGTAGTTTGAATGTTATTATTGGCTAAGTGGAGAGCACATAAAACTGATGTATTTATGGTCCTTTGAATTCTCCATTAATTTGGATCCTGATATACATTATGTGGAAAATATCGAATCACAGCTGGACGCAAACATAAAAATATACCAACTACAACTAAAGTGAAAGTTGCCATGTGGTGTCAGAACAGATTTGAACTTTTCCCACACTTCCTGGAAACACTGAATAATGCTCATGACCCGTTGAATGAACCAGCCAAGTGAAGCTCACCTTCTTCTCAAACTCATCAACCATCCCGACTTTGGCCACTGTGCTCCTGTAGACGCTCCAGTCGATGGCTGCAGGAGCCTCTGGCAGCGAGGTCAGTCTGGTGTAAAATGGAGAAGACTGAGTTTAACAGACGACTATGAAGCTTAAGTGAGCAAACTAAAAAAGGACGTCAAAGAATAAAATCGGTACAAAAAGTCAAAAGAATGAGCAAATGTGTTAGTTGTGTTCTTTCACAATTAATGAACTTGCGCACTATAAGACCAAGTTGACTTTAGCCGACTTTCAGCATGACTTCTAAAGTCTGTTGTGAAACTAACTTTGCAGCGATGGCATCACTGCGAGTCTTCAGCGCGTTGAACATGCTCCTCTGGTTGGGTGGGACGCGCTCAGCAAACGCCAGCCAGTCGATGGATTTCAGGGCTACACGACGGCCTGCCATCCTGCTTGTCTGAAAGGTAAGACGGAAATCTTGTTTAGTCCAGTCAACAAAAACATCAAAACAATCCAGGCTACATGTGGCTGGAAAACAAAAGTGTGTACATATATTTTCTGATTATATATACACACACTCAGTTGCCAGGTAAACCTAGCTCATACTAATAGTATGACAGCCCTGCAATAAATCCTGCCAGAGTTAATGTCAATGTTCAGTTTGTGTTGGAGCCATTTGACAGTTTGACAAAGAAAAAATACTTAAATCAAAGTCCATTTTTGCATGCTGTAGTTTAGTTTATTTTGCACAATTTAAACAATAAAATCAAAACAAACAAAACAGATTAAAACAAATAGTGCACGAAGAGGCAAAAGCCAACTGGGTTTATTTGAAGCCTCCACCTATATAATAAAATGTTACAATATTACAGAGAACATAAAATCAATATGCATAAGATATGACTATGTAAAATATGGCTGACAAGATGCCAAGTTGCTAATGAATTGGATTTTGTTGTAATATTTTACCCCATTTTTATCAGTGAGGGTAGCATAATGGAAAAACTCGCTATTTTATCAAATGTGCTATATCATATTTTTTTTTAAAAAGCACAAAACGACCATAAACTTGAATCAACACCACCCCCCAAATTAGTTTCCACAAAAGCTAAACTGTTTAAATGTAAAGTTATTTAGCTACATTAGTTTAAACTGGGTGTAAAATGTCACCTTGATTACCAAGTGGAGCCTAGACTGACAGAAACATGTTCACTTCCCATTCAATGTGCACTGTGATGCCATGTCGTAATGCAGTTGCACATTTGTGCGTCAACTGTACTTTTAATGATTGACTTCAGGATGAAACACATTTTAGTTTGTGTTAAACAAGCAGACAAGTGGCGTTAACGTTAGAACTGAGACATTATTGTTTTCAGGTTAAAGCAGGCCTGAGCAGCTAACCTTAACAATAAAGACTGCAGGACAGCTGGTCCTAAATAGTTATGCATATATTTAATAACTAACAGAGAAGATGAGATGATAGAAACACATTTTTGACAAGAAACAATCAATGACACCGGGCCCTTGACATTTTGTTCAATTCAAGACCGCTGAAAAGCAAGCTAACGGTAGCTAGCTCCGTTAGCTTGCTAGCCAAGGTCAGTGAAGTCTCTCAGTAACGCCAGTTTTCTCACAAAAACACAGCGCGAACGTTACGTTTACTGCTGAATCACATGCGCAACAATACACGGATGAGCTGCACAAATAACTATTTAAACAGATTTCCATTGGATGTTCTATCATTCAGCAAGCCACTCAGCTAACGTACTCACCTCGCTGTACAAAGAGTAGTCTACTCTGTGACCGGTTGAGCGGAAGTGCGTTTTCTTCTTCAGCACCGGCAGCAGCAGCAGCGAGCGCGCTACCGCCCTCTGCCGGACGGACAGAGTACAGACCGCGAGTAATACTGCCATCTTCGTCGAAAGCTCCAACTAAATTATTAAATGTACATCTTCACGTAAGTGCTTTAATGGGGACACATCATTAAATTATTCCCCACAATAAACTGTAAGTCGTATTCCTGTGATTGTATTTAGCCTTTAAAGGGGGTACACGATATTTTTGTTGGAGAAGTGTGACAAGAATGACAGACCAACAACATGAATGTTGAACTTTTGGTTTATAATAGGCCTATAACCTGAGTTAAACATTGTTTCATAAACGCATGAGAACTAACGGTTAACCCACTGGTACGCTATGTGACAGGGTATTTAGTTACATTAAGTGAACCAGACAGCAGGCTAATTAATAACGTTTAACATCAGCTGCACCGTTTAAAAAAAATACTGCTTTTGAACATCCCCATCTATATAGAAACCAGAAAATAAATGAAAAGAAAGTATAAATAAATATATTTGTAATTCCCCCTCAATTGTATCGAGCTGATGATCTGTTTTTATTTTTTGCTTAATTTTAAAAATATATCTGAAATGATTAGCCATGGTAACAATGTAGCTTATATGCAGGTGAATATTGAAAATCGGCCCCTTGAGGTGCGCAGCCTGCCATTTTCCCATTTTAAAGCTGTCTTATTGGAAAATATTTACTACCGAACAAGATGTGTTTAGTCTGCATGTGCCGCAACGCAAATATATTTTTTAGGAAATGAATGAAATGACCAGGTCTATTAGGTTAGAATGTGATTTCGTTTACAAACGATTCATTGAAAAGTGCCAAAGAAGACATACAGTTGTGTTAAGATATTACAAATCCTTTTTACATTAACAGAACAGGGGTTTAGCTGATGTCGTTGTAGGCTCATTTTTAAATCTCCCTGACAATTTCTTTGGGTGTTTAATATAGGTTATGGTCAATAGTAATATGCAATTTTGAATACAATGTATGCAAATGTAATGATATTGGGGGAAAAAAACATTATCATTGGCCCATTTTCAAATTAGATAAAATTAAGAATTATGTGGGATGACAATTTATTTATTTTTGGCAACAGTGATGGAGGTTTGGCATGATTGCTTTCATTAGAAATTACATTAATAAATAACAATTATCTCATCTAAGTCTGTGCTACCTTTGATTAAGTCATATTTCTTGGAGTAGTGAATATATACTCCTCCATAAATTCATCTGACTCTAATATAAGTATTAAATAATATAAATAAATAAAACAGTAAAAAGGTTGTACAACGAGTCAGCCACTTTGAGGTTTTGTATAATGTTTATTTACTAAAATCAGTTTTTACAAGTAACTGAACATTTGGATAGAGTGATGCATGTACACAGTACAGATACAAAGATATTCAATAAATACCACATTTCCTGCTGCTCTTCAAACGAGGCTGCAGGGCTTTATGAACACCACACATTGTATTTACATTTACAGCAACATTCCTCAAAGAAAATCTATCATCACTCCCATAAAGGCCACGATGTGAGAGTAAAAAAAATATCTAATACACGTGTTTTTCTAAAGTATAATTTTTGCTCCATACAAAAATGTAGAAATCGCGATGCTGTAAAAGGAAATACAAACATTCAAACAGCAACTCTGGCAAAATGCAGTTTTACCAGAAACAGTCGATGCTGAATGAGGAGAAATACTTCAAGTGATACACCGGTCTTAAGGCACTGACATCATTTAAGTACTTTTCTGTTGCTTTCGAACCTGCGCTTCAGTAGATCATCGCCTTCATGTCTGGACACACTTTGAATGTCCACGTTCACAAACTGCGGAGCACGGTGGAAGCGCTGGAGTGAGATATGTAAGGCATGTTGGTTAAAAACCTGACATTTGTTTTTGGAGTATCGCCTCAGCAATTTAGGCCTGTGGATGCACAACCCACAGAACTGTCTTAAAATGAGGAGAGCAGGTGAACTCGCTCAGTCTGATTACGCACACAATTACATATCAAAATGTGTCCCGAAATTAATTCAGAAAAATTCTCTAAACTCCGAATATAAAACTGTGAAGAAAGCGCATCATCCTCGTTTATAAGTGTTTTGCGACCATGAAAGAATACATTATTTTTCTCTTAAAATCAGCCACATACACACGCAGCACTACTAAGACAAATAATACATCCCATAAGTGACAGGTCCGCCGAACAGTCCTGGTACCGGCAGACTGTGCCTCGGGAAGGCGTTTGACGGGCCCCATGTTGGAGAGCCCATGTGCGCTCCGAGGGGGAGCGGCAGCGCGAAGGCGGGCAGCATGGGCTTGGAGGCCAGTTTATACTTTTCCAGCTCGGCCTCCTGCAGTCTCTTGGCTTTGGCCCTCCTGTTCTGAAACCAAATTTTGACCTGAGTCTCCGTCAGGTTGAGCGAGTTGGAGAACTCGGCTCTCTCGGCGATGGAGAGGTACTGCTTCTGGCGAAATTTGCGCTCCAGCGCCAGCAGCTGGGAGGTAGTGAAGGGCGTGCGAGGTTTCCTGTTGTTTTTGTGTTTCCTTAAAGTACACTGATTTGGACTTGAGCTCCCTGAGAACAATCAACAAAGGGAAGAATACATTTACTCTTAATTGTCAGGTGTACATGTCAATATTAAATGCAAACACATGCCGCGGGTAAAAATATGTCAATAGACAAGTTTTATTATTTTTTGATGAAAAATGTAGCCTCTATGTCAATATGGGTCAAAAACTGATCACATTCACTCGTGCAAACTTTAATCTTAAAGCTGAATCCCGCTAACACCCTTTAATATTTGCTTGCATATATATCATCTGTAAATAAATACAAAATATATTAAGAAGTATATAAGAATATAAGAAAAAAACAATCTGACAAAGGACCAATAATGTGCTTCACATGCTCAGCGGTACGAGACATTACCATAATCTATATGCAGTTTGTAAGACACAATAGAATGCAAGAAGGAAATGCATGCAGTCCGTATAGCAGCAGGGGCAATATCAATATGACTGTGACACAACGAGAGAATTATAATTTCTTGTATCTGTTGCCAAACTATTTTTACTTTGCAGCCCTGACTATCGGCAGTAGAAGATTACTAATTTAAAAAATAAATGTATACTTGAGTTTGCAAAACTCTCAGAACAGCAGAAGGACGGACTTACGTGGCGGAGTAGAAAGGGAGGACGTCTGGTACCAAGTGCTCTGCTCTTTCTCACTTAACTGCGGGCTGTCCTCGCTGGAACTGCTGGAAACACCCTGCGAGCTCTCCGCGGAAACCTTGCTCTCCGCGTAAAGAGTCCTTGGAGAGAACTGCACGCCTTGCCCGGCCGCGGGTTTCGGCAGGGCCACAGCTAAATCTGTGGGGGAATAGGAAGTCCGACAGGTGGTCTTCTTGGAAATCAACGACTCGACGCTAAACGCGAGGCTGCTCCGCTGGGGTTTGTATCCTTTCTCAGTGGTCATGTCTTTAGGCTGCAGATCCTCGCCCTCCGTATCCGTCTCCTCACTCTGATGAAGCTGTTTGGCGTCCTGGGACGGCGACCCCTGCACAGGATTCATCGTGACACGAGGGGATGGGGCCATGCACCTCCGTGTGGCCCGTTAGGAGGAATGGAGTCGCCGAGGTGTACAGTATCCAATATGCGTCTCTGCGCTGTCAGCGGTGCCCAGTAGCCTTTACGCGCTGCACGGGGTCGTCTATAAAAGGACAAGGGCTGTCCCCCCTCCACGCTCCCACCAATCAGCTCGTCGCTTTGGCCTCGTGACGTCTGCAAGTGCGGGTCTGATTGGCCCGCTGGCCCTCGAAGGGGAGATCAAAAGGCCTTTGAAAGGAAGGAGAAGTTAATCATACAGACCCCATGCGGCGCGGGGCTATTGATGGCCCTCACAAAGTAGCTTAGACCAATTTTAGTGCAATTAACCAGTGGGGAGGATCTCTCTTGACCATTTACATCCATTAGCCGGGCTCTCCATCGGTACTGTTCGTTGAATTATTCTCCCACTGTAAAGCTGAGCAGCAACTAAAGAGTCACATGTCAATATCAAAGCGATACTTTTATCAAAGGAGAAGGGAAAAAAACAAACAGTAAAATGTATTCAGTCAACTGCTTTTAAAATAGAATAAGCACGCAGAATTAGATTTGTAGATAAGTATTCTAATCAAGTCACTGGAAAAAAAATTAAAAGTAAAACAATTCAGCTGAGAATCAAATAAGAAAACCGGGATGGAAATTGATTAGGAATGACTGTTGGTCACACAGCATTACAGCAATTTAAGGCCTGTCATGAGCTCCTCTCGCTTCACAATGGCCTCAGTTGAGAAGCAACAGGCGTTTTCTTTCTCCAGGTCATACTATTTAATAAGCCAGACAAGTTGTGTTTTGCGAGGCGCCAGGCTCGGCAGGATCAAAAAGGAAGATACCTCGGGGAGAAAAAAGGCAACGGTTAACTCCACTTAACCAATTGTCCTCCAAATATTTCATAGTCCGCTGCATGGAGCTGGGAGGAAGCAGCCGCTGACAGTTAACTGTTTCACGTCTAGTCTCAAACTGACGAGGGTGGGATTTAATTCATTTCGACATGTTTTAGTAAAATGATGACGACTGCAGCAGCAATGCAAAACCTTCATCGTCATCGAGTTCATCACGACACCATCACGGACTTTGCATCAGGTGACAAGTCCGTTTTGTTAATTAAAATAAATTAATTGGAAATTATTGGAAAGAATTGTGGGAACATTGTTTTTCCAGAAGTATTGAGCTCATCAGTGTTTGCAGAATACTTCACGTTCATTAAGTTTCCATTCAGATCCGTTGTTGCTGAAGTATCAATACCACAGTGTAAAATAAGTCTACAAATAAATGTCCTGCATTTAAAATTTCGCTTGAGTCGAAAGTACCAAAGTTAATCAGTAAAATGTACTTAAAGTATTAAAAGTACTGATTATGTACTCATATTCATGAGTTCGTTAGATCATGTTCACAGTTGATTTAAAATGTTTCCAGTACTTTTACTGTATAGCTGGTTGAAGTGGAATTTATTCTGTCTACTTTATATATTGGACAATTAAAGCATGAATCAATCCTATTTTAGAGGCTGATCACATGTTTTGTAAATAAAGTCTTAACACATAAAGTAACAAGTAAGGTGCATGTAGTGGACTAAAAGGTATAATATCTGCTTGTGTAGATGAATAAAGTTGTTGTATTTAGTTCTTCTTCATCCCATAATAATTATGTCCCTTCAAGAGGCTCATTGTTGGGGAAATGTAATCTCTCCTAAACATCCTTTAAATTCTTCCCTTCCAGCATGTCCAAGCAGATATCACATTCAGTGTATCAGCAGCACACTGTGCCCTCCTGGACATCATCAGCACAACCCAACACAAGAGAGCTCCACACTCAACCCTATCAAATATACGATCGGGAAGTGATCAAGTGAGGAGATGGATTGATCCGTGGCAGTTGTTAATCCGAGACCTTCACTTTTTTCCCCCGTAATTCACTTCACCAAATTACTTCATTAGTCCTCTTCGTGCTTAGCTGGATGAAACAATGAATACTTAACCTATTAGAAACCACAAGCAGTTGCTTGTGTCCTGCAGGCCCATCAAGCAGCATATGACTGTCATGCAACTGGAATTAGTGAAATTAGCTGCTGTTTCTCAACAAACGACAACAAAAAGAAGACACAATTCTTTATTGAGATCACTAATGGTCGGCCTCGTGCGAGCCCTCAGGTGCAAAGAACAGTTTACCCCTCATCAAGTAAGAGGGGCAGCTTTGGTTGGTTATTCAACTTGAGTAAATCCTGATGTTTGAGTGCGCTCCTTCTATCTGACAAAGCCGGCCCTCTGTCTCCTCACACACCGGGGCCTCTCGTCACCCAGCTGGTTTGGGTTTAAATCCCAGCGACCGCGTACCCTTCCCTCTGTCTCGTCTCCGTAGTGTTGTGGAAGAAGGGGATGAGAGTCTGCCCGCGGAGCACGCAGACTCACACAGAGATTCATCCGATACAGGTACATCCAGAGATCTATACACAAGAAGTACAGTTACCTCTCCTCCCCTGGTGTTTGGTGCAGTGTATTTAGCTCCGGGCCCCCTTCTCGCCTACCCCAAAAGACATTTATGTAACAGCATGCAGGCAAGGGAACTGTGCCAAAAGATGTTAGTGAGTTTGAAAGCAGATCTGTCCTTCAAGGTCGGCGCATGCTCGATGGGAAGCCCTTTTCCCCTTAGCTGGCACCTGAAACAAGAACTTCTTCTCGCGTACGTGCACGGGCCATTTTCAATACTCGATTCTTCGGTGAAACCACTCAGCCAGTTGGTAAAGAAACCACGTGAGAAAACAACATCTCCTATCGTGCGTTTGTTTTCTTTCAGAAGGTGTCCCAGTCAAGGCCGTACTCTTCAGATGCACCAGCGGATGAACTCAGACTTCGTGGGAGTCCAGGTGAGCTGGTGTCTGTCCTCCATCAACAATGTGTGAATTCCCCGCTGTAGTGAGGCCCTCTGACAAACAAACCGATCATTTAGAGGAGTGAGCGAGCTGTGGAACCCAATCCCTGTGAGATGTGTCGACAGCGGCACAAAGACCTGTAGCTACAGGCCTCAACGAGATGGACGCTTTGCCGACGTGGCGGCGCAGACTAGACGGGGACAAGCAAGTGTGCCGCTCTCGGCATCGTCCCGACACGCCACTCTCACGCTGCCGTCACTTTTCTGTAGGGAAGGAACATTTCTGTGATGGAGTTTAGTCTTCATTTCTACATGGAAGCAAGAGGTAACTATCTTTGCGTGCATTGTTTTAATTTCCTGCCTCTGTCAACACCTCGACTCGTGTGCCTTCCTCGCATAAGGTGGCCAGCACGGCACTCTGCATTTACCGGCAGTTTAAATAGCAGTTCTTGGGGCTGCTCAACGCTGTGGAAAAATATCTTGACCTTTCATTTGGCTTAACAAGTTGGTCCCATCCACATCAGACCCGCTTCAATCCTGCACTTAAACGCTGGTTTGACGTTTTCTGCCAAAGCCACTTCCTCTTGTGGCATCAGAGCGCCCTATGTTTGAACACAGCGTAATGAGGGAAATAGTCTTGCTGGGCCGAAGCGAAGGAAGCAAGCTGCCTTCATCACAACTTTGTTTTGTGCACTGTAAAAAGGCAATCAGGGGATGGAGTGTCCTGTGGTGTTATAGCTGCTGTTTTTAACTCAAACCTAAACACAACAGGGTTTATTTCTTTTGACTGTGGTGGTTGCATTTGCATTTGGAGCTCAAGCTGAAATGAATGTTTGCTCATATACTGATGGCTACATTTAAAAAACTTGGACGCTGTTTCCCACTCTTCCAAAACAGATGTTTTTGTTGAGAGGGTTCCTCCTGAACTCTACTGCCAGTAGAGATTGTTGAGGAGAAAAACCACGAGAGGTGACAATGCAATCGGCAATTTTGTCTGGCTTGCTGTCGGCCATAGAAATCCGCATTCTTAAGGAAAGTCTAGGGACAATGCGAGTGGGCGAGTTAGGTTGAGGACTGGGAACGAGGAACTTTGTGTGGCTACTCCGTGGTCTCATTCACAAACCGAAGAATTTCTCCACAATCTCATATGCTCTTAGCAGCCAAAGCTGTAAAGCAGGAGATTTGAGGCAGAGAAACGAAACAAGGCAGCAGCATCAATTTTCTCTTTTACTATATGGCTTCAAATCCCAGCGAGGCCAAAGCCAGCAACTATTGTTTAAATTACAGCAATTTGGTATATATATATATATATATATATATAATAAGAAATATTTTCTTTTGCACCTCATGAAACTGTATTAGCTGTTATTTGAACGGGGTGAGGAGAAAATAGGACATTTGATGCAACCAATTTTCTTCTTTTTGTGTAATTTCCTTATTAAGTTCGATAGCTGAGACGATTATTCTTTGTAGTTGAACGCAGGTAAATTCACAGTTCTTGGCAGATAGATTGCATTGAGAAGTTTGCAGATGTGTCACTTTATTGCTCTGGCAATGAAAAGAAAACAATAATCATCACACCAATAATGTAATCAATAAAGTTTTATCATTGAAACTTTTCTTAATTGTGGTGATAGAATGTTTCCAATTACCAGGCCTTTTATATCAGTGCTTCATAAGATTTAATCGTGAAAAAAATCACTAAATAATTTGGTTACATTGAAATCTTAACCAGCACTGCAGTTTCTGATATATTTTTTTGGGTTAAATAGATGTTTCTCCACATTTGTTGCTTTTGACTCTGAGAACACATGTAGGTCAATTTAAATTTGCTCAGACCATAACCTCCTTTAATTTAGTTTTAAATGACAAACAAAAGTTTGCAAATTGTTTCAGCCCTTACTTCGTAATCTAACTCTCCATAAAGATATTTTACAAGTCGACAAAAGCTTTTGAGTCAAAGTGGTTGAATGCAGTGTAGATCCAAATTGTCAATGCCTGTCTGATAGTAATAATGTTATTGCAGTCACCAAAGGTTAGAACAAATGTGTGTGTTTGAATATCCTGAGATTACAATTTCAAAGTCCTCCCCATGAGAAGTCGAACAATGGAGAGGGTGGGAAGTTTAAAAAGCGGGGTCTCTTTCAAATAAACAAGCATGGGTTGATCCTGAATAGGGCTGCTACCGAGCAGCCGGATTGGTTCTCAGAAGATCGAGAGGAGCGACTGCAGGCTCTCTTCCTCCTCCTCCTCCTCCTCCACCACCACCACCCCGGCTCCCAAACCAACAGATGTAGTAAACACAAACAAACTGATAGAGCTTCACAACTATAATTTAGCACTTTGCTCCATTTCTTTATCCCACC